TTTATGAAAGGATGATTAGGTGCAGTTCATGATACTATTGTTACTTTAGGCGGCCTATTGCAATACAATTAAAGTTCAACAATTATGTGGTGTATCAGGCTACACACATAATTAACATTCCATTTCTTTTTTGAGAATACAACATTATTCCTCCACTTCCAAAGCCACCATAGAATCGACAAAATGAAAGAGGAAGCTTCATAAGCAATAACTCCAAGTATCCGGTGCCAGATATTTTGACATATCATTATGTTAGATGAAACAATTCCTATGCGGAGCCAAACCTCTTTAGAATTCAGACAGACCCTTAAAGCATGTAGAATAGTTTCCTCCATTGCAAAACATCTAGCACACTCTGCATTAGTGGCAAGATGACTAGCATAATGTTTGTTATTAATAGGCAAGACAACATGAAATATCTGCCAGGAGCTCAGGAACAATAATTCTCCAAATTCTCTTCCAAACTTGATTGGAAGATGGTGGGTGTGGTTAAGATACCAAGCATATGTTGAAGATGTTATGTAAGTCCCACGATTATTACTCAGCCAAGGAATAACATCAACATCAAAGAGAGTAGAAGGAATAGGTACCTCAAGAATAAAATTTACTACGCTTAAAGGAAGGAACACGTAAAATCCTTGCAAATTTCAATTCCCATTATTCCATAAATCTACTATAGTAAGTGAGAATCATGGATGTGGACAAACAAAACCTCTAGGCATAATGGGCCTGCTCCTAGTCAATTAGAAAACGAAAGACCAAAGAGAACTCCACCAAAAAGTGGTCCAAACCTTATTTGGAGAGCAGTCACAACTTTGACAATACTCTTCCAAACATATGAACTGCCCTGAGGAATAATAGGCCGAAAGATGGAGCCATTATCAAGATATTTGTAAGAAAGAAATATAATTTTATTGTTAATAATAATTTATAAACAATACATATATTAATTAATAATTAGATTTGAGTTTTGAGGCCTCGTGTACATCAGTCCTTATACTTTCCGAATGTTAATTTAAAAGACAAAAGCCTTTTAATATGCTTCCTATTCCCATACCTTTTTTTATTATTTTTTATTTTACATGATATAGGTATTAAAAAATTTAGAGCCTAAAACCTTTCCTTAATGATTTTGCTTCTCACTCGGCCTTGAAGTGAATGTATGATTTTAAAAATAATTTTTCATTGATCATTCTTAAATAATTTTATGATTCAAATTTACTCAACTGACTTTTATATATATATATATATATATAATATAATATAATATAATATAATATACCTAGATAATATATGACCCCTACAAATGTATAGATGATCATTAGAAATATAGATTATTTATAGTGAGAGTGTAAAAGATTAAAAAAAAAATTTAGTTATATAATTATTTAGGTATAGTCAAAATTACGTTTTGTTTTTTAGACGAAAGATGGACAAGATTACTTAGAGGTGGTTTGATTCTAACAGTATATACATCATCTTAAGTTTAAATATTGGTTTCATCACTATAATTATAACGGATAAAATTAAAATGATAATTTAATGTTAATAATTACTTTTAATGCTATTATTAATTCTTACTGTCATTATTACCACTATCACAGTTATCATCTCTCGCATTCTTTTCCTAAATCATAAACCCTCAGTTTTATGTATGGTTTTATTTTTTGCTAAATTATATTTGGTCTAATTTGATTTTTGTATTACTATGACACCCTATATTTTTGCAATTAGATTAATAATATATATTTTATTATAAAATTTAAAAGTTGATGTTAGAAAGCATTTTAAGGTTAAAATTATATTTTATGTATTTATTTTGAGTAAATTATATGAGGATTATGTTTTATTATAATATTTTATTATTGTTGTTGTTATTATTATTATTATTATTATAAAGTGAAGGAAGGAATATATAGGTAACCAGAGTTATGGATAAATAACTAAGGATATATAGGTTAGAGAGAGGATGAGTTAAGTTTAAATTTAAAAAGAAAGACACGTTAACTTTTTGTTAACACCTTCATTTTTCTTTTACGCTCTGAAGAACCAGGAGGAGAGGAGATCATCCCGGAGATTCACATTCTTCGATGTTTGCTAATAGAGGCAAGAGAGGAGTGAGAATTCTCGCTTTGGGGCATGGAATAATTGTATGTTATATGCATTGTATAAAGAGGAAAAGTCTAATTATTCTCTATTGTTATTGATTGTTTTCCACATTATTCTATTACTCCTGAATTTGTTATAAATCATGCTTATATATAATTAATTTCATGCATTGAGCCTTTTAAGTAAGAATTGAGTTGTTTGTAGTTCTTATGGAAACCCTAAGGACATGCGTTGAATAGTTATTTTGTGAAGGATTAATAAAGTTGAGTAATTGTATGACATTCATGCCTTATGGATGTGTTGTATGAATAAATTAGGGTGTTTTATGGATTGAATCATTTTTGCAAGCTATGGTTTGCAAATCGCATATTTCAAAAATTTTGTAGGTTTTTGATGTTTTGATAAGGTGTTGGGCACCACTTGTGTCTCGTTGGGCACTAGGGTGATCAAGAGTAGGGTTCACTCCCTGTTCTATCTACGTCGGGCATGAGACATGCCTTACCGAGCATTATCGAGGCCACAAGTCTCTACGATACTCACGTCATGCATGGGTTGAGGCTCGCTGAGCGTGGGACTCCGTGGGAATCCTTGTTGCTTTCTTATTGGCGTGACACGGGTCTTGTTGGGTGTGAGTCACCCTGAGAGTTATGAGTGCTCTCTAGATGAGCTTCACTAAGCGTAGATGGATTTCTTCCAAGCGCTAACTATATATGAGATTCATTTAAATACATGAGCTGAAGAGATTGCTGAGTAATTTGAATATTAATAAGTGTGACATGAATATGTATGTTTGATAGATTGCTTAAATGAAATACTTGATTCTTGTTGGTAAATTGTGTATATGGTAAAGTTTATGTGTCATTAATAACAATTGAGAGCATGACAAATCGTATGCGTGGCAAATCGTTGACATATGTGTATATATATTGATTTCATGTTATGAAAGAATCTATGTGATATGTATCATATGCACGCAAATCGATAAATTGATAAATTGTTTCATATGCACTGTGCATATATTGAGATTGGTATCACATGCATGCAAATCAAGAGTGTGTGTCCATTGCATCCCATATTCACATGTGATTGAATGACTTATGATCGTTATATTGTTAACAAGTGATTGTGTTGATGATTGAATGATCGTGATAGTTAATTGTTATTATCATGTTATTGTTTAAATAATGTATGGAGTTTGTTTGGTCATCTATTTCTTATTCCATGCCATGAACTAGAGTGAGAAGTTTTCTCACTCCCCTTTATTTCCATGTCTTGACTATATATATGTTGTTGCAGGTAATGTTCATCAGGATCTTGATGATTCTGGTGATGAGGCATACTCCTTGTCTTGGGAATGCTCTGATAGGATATGTGACACTGAAACTTATATTAGCGATATTTTTACTCAATTTCTAAGTGTAAGAATTATGTTTAGTATTATATTTATGCATTTGTATGAAGTTTGTTTTAAAACTTGTTTTATGAGATTCTCTATCCCATATTGGAGGTTTCATTTTGACTATTTATGCACGAGTTTGGATTATCTTTGTATACATTTGGAGGTTTTAAATATTTTAAATTATCTACGTATAATTACAAATTTATTTATTTAATTATATTATTAATATTTATATATAATAAATTATTTATACTATATATAAAAGGGATATCTCCTTGTAATTTTCACATTATTTATACTTCTTTATTATACATTAATTATATTTTTCCACCATCATATTTGTCAAATGTAAAATAAAAGAAAAAAATATGCCTACAAAAAACTAATTACTCATTTTATAACAACTTTTGATCTTTATTTTTATTTAATATTATTTTAACTTTATATTATACATTGTTTCACTTGATTTACATGTTATAATTTTTATTATTTATATTTTTTAAACAAAATTCATAGAGAAAGGGGCAGGGGGAGGGGAGCCTGCAGCGGTCATAGTTCCCCCGCCTCCCAAAAGAGACAATTTATCTTGTCGAACCTTCAACCCACTATGACCATGTGAAATAGGTTAAATGAGAAATTTTTTTTTATCACCCATGACCATGTTAATACGTTAAATGAGGCAAGATGAATTTAGCTATCTACTTTTTTTTAGAGTTAATCACCTATATACTGTTAATGTAAAGTTTTTTTATAATAACAACTAATTAGATCTTTTAATTGTACCATGTCACTGTTAAAAGTACGTACTTATAGTGACATGATACAATTAAAAGATCTAATTGATTGCTAGTGTAAAATTTTTTTACACGAACAGTGTATAGGTGATTAACTTTTTTTCTTTCTAAATGCTGCCATTTTTTTTCAAAGTGATTTCACAATTACAACTCGAGATGTCACATTATGAGTTAATGTCATATTTAATTCAATAAATTTTTCAACCAATTAAATAAAGTTATGATAGAGATAGGAAAAGTAGGAGTTTAACTCCCCGAATGTATTAAAAAAAAGGAAAAAAAGAGAGAGAATATTTACAACATTAATTATAATTAATTAGTAGGATTGAAGCATTCTTTGTCACTATTAAAAATAAAATAAAAATAAAAATTAAATAATTAAAATATGTTAATCTAATTGATATTATAATTAATTTATTAATTTCAAGTTTTTAAATTTAATTAAAAAATATTATTCTTTTATAATTTTTTAAAATAAAAAAATATAATAATCAACTAAATATAAAGACCAAAATAATTACTAAAAAGGTATTTACTTTATATATTAATATTGAATTCCAATTATTAACTAGCATACATTTAAATTGTTAAAAAAATTATTTATTATATATTATTTAAAATCATAAAACTTTGGAGTGTATAAGGCTATTTACAACTTTTTTCTTATTTGTTTTGGCTGATAAAAAAAAATTATTTAAAAGGGCGAAAACTATGAGAATCCAATTGATTAATTACTGAATCTAGACAACACACAATAAGATAGAAGAAAAATGTGCAGCCTGGAGAAGCGCGGTAACGTGTGGGTACTGAGCATCGCCGGCGACGGCCAAAACCGGCTGAGTCCAACCCTAATCGATTCCCTCCTCTCAGCCCTAACCCGCCTCACCACCCAAGCCACTCCGGGGTCCGTCCTCCTCACCACCGCCCACGGCAAGTTCTTCTCCAACGGCTTCGACCTCGCCTGGGCCCAATCCGCCGCCTCCCCCTCCGCCGCCCTCCTTCGCCTAGAGTCCATGGTCGCCTCCCTCAAGCCCGTCGTCGCCGCCCTCATCGCCCTCCCCATGCCCACCATCGCCGCCGTCAACGGCCACGCCTCCGCCGCCGGCCTCTTGCTCGCGCTCAGCCACGACTACGTCCTCATGAGGAGCGATTACGGCGTGCTCTACATGCCGGAGGTCAACATCGGCCTGCCCATGCCGGACTACTTCGCCGCCGTCATGAGGTCCAAGATCAGGTCGGCCGCGGCGCTGCGAGACCTGATGCTGGGCGGCGCCAAGGTGAGGGCGGCGGAGGCGGTGAAGATGGGGATGGTGGAGTCGGCGCACGATAGCGCGGAGAGCACGGTGGAGGCTGCGATGCGCCTGGGGGAACGATTGGCGCAGAGGAAGTGGTTGGGTGAGGTTTACGCTGAGATAAGGAAGAGTTTGTATCCAGATGCGTGTATCGTTCTGGGATTGACTCAGAAACCCATCGTTTCCAAGATCTGAATCTCTATCTCATTTGTAAGCTTTTTTTTTTTTTTTTTTCTCTTTGATTCAATACAATAAGAATGATTTTAGTATTATTACTGTATTAAATTTATTATAATGTTTTTTTTTAATATTCGATGAGTTGTTATAATAGTTTATTTTCATAAAATACATCTTTGTTGGCCAGTTATTCCATGTAACTTATATATCTTTTAACATAAAATACATCTTAAATAAACTAACAATCCAAATCAGATTTTAAAATAGGATAGGTCAAATTCAAAAATAAAAGGTTAAAAGCCTAATTTGGTCTCTTATAATAATTTTTTGTTTCAATTTAGTCCTATTTTTATTTTTTGTTTCAATTTGGTCCCAAACTAATTAATTGGTTTCAATTTAGTCCCTAATAAATTAATTGGTTTCAATGTGGTCATTCCGTCCAAATTATTTAAACGGAGTTAATTTCTAGCCACGTAGATGCATACGTGGATGCCACGTGGATGAAATTTTTTTTAAAACACCTGGACCCAGAATGGCCCGTTCTGAAACCGGAACGGGCCGTTCTGGTTACACTTTTGGTGTGTTAATTTTGCATCCGGAACGCCCGTTCTAGGTGCAAAATTAAGACACCAAAAAAGAAACCAGAACGGCCGTTCCGGTTTCAGAACGGGACGTTCCGGTTTATTGTTTTTTATATATAAAATAGTAATAATTTTATAAAATATATATTATTAATTATATTTTAATCATGTTGTTATATCTAATAAAATAAATATATTAATATTTTTTTATATTTTATTTTATTATGTTTATCTTATTAATTTTTATCATTTTATTCCTCTAATTTTAAATAAGTTGCAAAAAATTATAAAGTGATACTTAAATATTTCTTCAAACAGAAAAAGAAAAAGAAAAAACCATTACTCTAATTATAAGACAAATGTATTTTATAAAAATAAGTAATTTTAACATTTTACCATAAAAAAATATTTTTCAAAATTATTATATTTTTTAATAAAATTAATAAAGAATATTGGTTTAATTGCATTTTTTATCCCTTAAGTATTACAATTGTGAAGTTTTGATCCCCAAGATTTTAATTGGGTAATTTTAGTCTTTAAAGAATTGTAATTCCGCGATTTTGGTCCTTCAATTTTTAATTGAACAATTTTAATCCCTTGAATATCATAATAGTACAATTTTAGTTTCTCCCATTAAAAATTAATAATTTTAATATATATATATATATATAATGTAAATATATATCATTTGATACATTAAAAAAATTTATAATATACGTTAATTTAAATAAGCAAATAATTATATAATTTAAAACATTATATATATATATATATAATAAAATTTTAAAATTATTAAATTTTTAATGAGAAATACTAAAATTGCACAATTATGATATTTGAGAGATTAAAATTGTTCAATTAAAAATTGTGAGACTAAAATTACATAACTGTAATCTTTTAAGGACTGAAATTACTCAATTAAAACCTTAGGGATCAAAATTGCATAATTATAATACTTGAGCGATCAAAAATACAACTAAGCAAGAATATTCTATTTTCAGTTTTGGAACGGCCCGTTCTGGAACCAGAACGGCCCGTTCTGGTTTCAAAACGGCCCGTTCTGCTGCACTGGTGGTGTATTAATTTTTGAATCTGGTACGGCCCACGTTGGAAATCCACGTCAGCATTAATTACAATTATCACATTTTAATTTTTTGCCACGTGGAAAAAATCCAAACGCCGTTAAAGAAATTTTAACGGAAGGACCACATTGAAACTAAATTTATTAGGGACTAAATTGAAACCAATTAATTAGTTTGGGACTAAATTGAAACCAATTAATTAGTTTTGGACCAAATTGAAACCAATTATAAAAATGGGACTAAATTAAAACAAAAAATTATTATAAGAGATCAAATTAGGTTTTTAGTCAAAATAAAAATAAAATATATGACCAACGATAGTTTAACTTTTTGCAACTATTCTCCTGTCTACTCCTATTTAAAGACGTTTGATAAGCATTAACAAATCATTACCTCAAGTAACCATAAGTTATATATCAACTTAATTTTAAGATTATTGTTTTTACCCAACTCAATCCAAACTCAATTATAGATCCAACAAATCTAAGGTATGAATATCAATCATTTACTATGATGATATCAAAACATCAATTGTTCATATTAAGTATCTAATAGAACTTTAACACTTCATTTTGATAAGAAGTGAAATTAAGAGGAAAGAATTAGGAAAGAAAGAAATAGATAAAATATTTATTGAAGTGATTTTTAGTTGAAATTTTGAATTGTTTGGGTCGATGGAATTGGAAAAAAGAAAAGTGATTTATTTTTCTTTGTTAGTTTTGTTATATGAAAAAGTAAGGAAAAGAAATGAAAAATATTATGATAAAACAATTTTACTCATATACTATAATTAATTTTAATTTTAAATCAAATGAAATTTTAAATATTTTAATTTAATGATTTGATAATTAATTAAGATTATTAATTTTTAATATGTTCAACATGCACGAAATAGATAAAAATAAATAATGACTTCATCTATTTTAATATTAAAATGGGATGAAGTTTTTCACCAATAATTATGGTCATCGAGGTCACTAATTAGGGATAGAGATGTTCACGGGTTTGAATTTAGATGAAAATTTAATTTGAATAAATTAAATTTAATTGGTTTAAATTTTATAATTTTTTGTGATTAATTCAAATCAAGTTAATTTAATGTTGATTTGTTTGGTTCAGTTCGAATCATTGGATTTTTAATAATTTTTTTAAAATTAAATTATAAAATATTTTTCTCAAAGTAAATAGATTTTTTAACATTAACTAAATTGATATATTGTAAAAAAATTAACTAAATTGATAGATTTATAATATAGTCATTTTAATTTCTTTTCTTAATCTATTTAAGGATTTCAAATGCAATACAATGTGTGAAAACGACACTTAATATATTGTAAAATAGTTTTTCTTGGTTTCTTCAAGTATTTGAAAAAAGGAATGAAAAAAATTTACATATTGTAACATAAAAACATTTTCAAAATTATCAAAATGATACATACATATTAATTGTTAACAAAATAGAAAAAATAATATATAAATTAATTAATTAATTTGGTTAGGGTTGGTTCAATTTATAAATGTGTAAATTCAATACCCGAATCAATCAATATTCAATTTAATTGATTTGGTTTTGAGTTGGACTGGGAAAAAAAATTGAAACAATTTAATTGATTCGACTTGGATTGTCAAATTCGTCAAATTGATTCGATTCAATGAACATAATTAACTAAATTGATAGATTTATAATATAGTCATTTTAATTTCTTTTCTTAATCTATTTAAGGATTTCAAATGCAATACAATGTGTGAAAACGACACTTAATATATTGTAAAATAGTTTTTCTTGGTTTCTTCAAGTATTTGAAAAAAGGAATGAAAAAAATTTACATATTGTAACATAAAAACATTTTCAAAATTATCAAAATGATACATACATATTAATTGTTAACAAAATAGAAAAAATAATATATAAATTAATTAATTAATTTGGTTAGGGTTGGTTCAATTTATAAATGTGTAAATTCAATACCCGAATCAATCAATATTCAATTTAATTGATTTGGTTTTGAGTTGGACTGGGAAAAAAAATTGAAACAATTTAATTGATTCGACTTGGATTGTCAAATTCGTCAAATTGATTCGATTCAATGAACATCCCTACCAAGGGGTGGAAATTCATCATCACATCAACCACAACTCCTAGTTCAAACTCCATATTCTCTATTTCATTAACAAACACGGAACTAACTAATTATAACTAACTAATCTATCAATTTTCTATTCTAATGGAAATTATGGAATTGTGATCTTTAACCACTACAATAAAAAGAGATTTTAGTAACATTTAAAAAATGTTATATAATTATGTATAAATGTTAATTTATTTTTGTCATATTATCAAATGTTATATATAATTCATGTCTTTAAAATCTTTTAATAACATTTTTTTACATAATTAGATAACATTTTTCAAATATTATTAAAGTGGTATTTTTGTAACATTTTAATAATGTTAAGTTTTAGTTAACTTTATAAAATAATAATTAGTTTTAATATAGACATTACTATCAATTATACTATATGATTCTTAGCCTCTTAAGAGTTTTTTAAGGTTGAAAACATTCTTAGCTACTCACTACTAAATTTATATTAAATATCAAAATTTATTTATCTTAAGTATAATTTTATGATGATAATAATCTTAAGTGTCATTTATTTATTCGATGTGAGACTTCAATTTTGAAAAATAATTAGAGATTAGGAAAACATACTCTTTATGTAACACTTTTTTATTTGACGTAAAATTTTAATTTTGAAAATAATTAAAAAGAATAATATTAAGATAAAAATGTTATTCTATTTATAGTAACATTTTGCAAAAAACTGTTATAAAATAATTTATTTACTCAATTTATAATAATATTTTAATAAATACAAGTAAATAAATGTTACTAAACAAAGTAAAATGTAATTGTGGAATGAAAATAAATGAAAGATAAGGAAATATAATAAAGAGAGAGACTTTGTTTTTGCTACAAATGCTCACAATCAAATATAATACAAAACAATCTAACTGCCATATCACTTGACCACTATAAACTACTTATTCAACATGGTCACATTATACTTCATCTTAAAATCAATGCACAACATTTATCCAGGTTATAAAAATAAAAAAAAATAAAAAAATTCTTCGATGACCGTTTTCTGTTAAAAATCATGCCTCGAGCAATGAAATGAAATCCTGTGGGGCCAACTAATTTTCACTGTTTCCTTCCTAAGTTTCTATCAAACAAACAAAGAAAATATTTAATATCCTTCACCCTAAACAAATGAAGATATGTAAAGAGGGGCAATTGAGATTCAAGAACAATTAATTTTTTTATAGATAAATAATAAATAAAATAAAAAATCAAATCAATACATAAATCCCTTTAGGCTTTATTTGGACCTTAAATTACTGTAATCATATTATTGCTATTTTGATATTTT